GCTGCTGGCCGGGGCGAGCTGCCTGTGCTACGGCCGCTCCCTGCGGGGCGAGTTCGTGCACGACGACGTGTGGGCGATCGTGAACAACCCCGACGTGCGGCCCGGCGCCCCGCTGCGCTGGGGCATCTTCTCCAACGACTTCTGGGGCAAGGGCATGGCCGAGAACACCAGCCACAAGTCCTACCGGCCGCTGTGCGTCCTCACCTTCAAGTGAGTCCCTCAGCCCGCGCTCGCCACCGCCGCGGTTTCTCCTCCCGCGATGACCCAGACCCGGAGAAGTTGCGGGACTGGCTTGGAGGCCGTTTCTTCTCTTGCTGCCCCTTCCCTCCACGCCCCACTCCTCTCCGGGCTGCCCACGCCAGTCTGCTCCGTGGTCCTCGGCCCCGCTTCTTGGGGCTCCAGGGGCCGTTGGGGAGGCGCGGGCTGGGAGTTGGGATCGAGTTTCTCGAGAGTCTGCGCTCTCGGCGGGCTGGTCTCTCGGGCCAGGGCTGGGAGGGGGCTGGCCGAGCGGCCTCTGCACACCCCAGCCCTGCCGGACCGTGACCGAGTGAGACCAGCGCTGGCCCAACGAGCTCCGGACGGGGGGCTGTGATGCTGAAGCTTCCAAGTTAGGAATTTCTCGGCGGCTGTTGGGCAGCCATGCAGATGGGGGGTGTATCAGCCCCCTAGGAGCCGTGAGCTGCCAGCGCTGCGTGGGTTTGGGGGAGCAGCGAGCAGGACCGAGAGCAGAGGATCTCTCCCGACCTGCAGCCTTGGCTGCTCCTGGAGCCCCTCAAATCTGCCGAAAGGGCTCGGGATCTAGACTTTAAAAGGTGTCCAGCAAAGGCAGGCAGAAAAGCGTGGGATCCTCTGGGGATCCTGGGGTCCCCGTCGAAATAGTTTTTCTTTTGCAACCTCAGAGTCATGAGTCAGCATTTTAAGTGTGAAGAAGGTGTAAAGGGAATCGTGAGAACGCCAGTTTTTTGCGGGGTGGAGTATTTTCTTGAATTTCAGAGAGGGCTGGTTTCAGGTGGATGGGGAGGAAGGCCGATTCTAGGGAGGTGCTGGCTCACGTGTCATGAGCTTGACTCAACCCCTTTATAATTTGGCTCAGCAGTTAAGCTTATAATGTGCCGGACAAAACTGTTGAAATATCACTGGTTTAGTTTCATCAGCATTTTAAACCCTTTCCAACGGGTGTAACATGAGCCTGTCTTTATGGTAACGATCATTCGACACAGGGAAGGCAGCTTGGAAAGCTTGCCCAGGCTAGGAGACCAAGGTCGCTTGACAGGTGGCTGATGACTTGGAAAAGGAAACCAGAGCAGTTGGCAACAATTCGTGGGTTTTGACTTAATTCTTGCACTGAGAGTTGAATGCTTTAAGAAGGATGAGGAAATTGCACATCTGACTCCGAAGAGAGTATTTTATAAACATTTATCCTGTTAGAAAGTGGTTTTGTTTTTCAGCTGAATAATAACCTCAGCCACAAAGTTGCTTAGAACTTTAAGCTTTCTAAATGTTTTGTGAAATCTCCTTAGATGGCACAATATTCGTGTTTAAACTTCTAGATTGACCACTTTTTCATGTATTACAGTGAGGCTTGTTGATTGAGGTATGCTGGACTCAGGACAGCCATGGAGGCAGCCTAGGTCCCTGGTCTGAGCGTTTTCCCTATAAAAAGGTCAAGTGCCTGTTCCCACTTGGTGGAGGGTGAGGAATAGTGTCATTTCTTGACTTTCTAAAAAATGAATTTTTTAATCATGCAGGAGGTAGCAGGGATAGAAGGGAGAGGGGAGGAAAGGAGTAGACATTGGCCAGAAGAGGGGCAAAGGAGAAGGAAAATTGAGGGGGCAGGGGGCAACTCTTCACTTGAGATACTGATTGTAAAAAGCAGCCTGGTTGCTAAGATGCATTGCTCTTTGTAGAGTGGATCTTAACTGACTGTGTCAGATACACTTTTTTTTTTTGAGAAGATTGAGTTGCATGACTAGAGTGCAACAGAGCACAAACTGGAAAGGAACAGTGCCTTTTCAGAAGGAGAAATTGAACTAATCTTTCTGTATTCACAGGTGTTGATTTCAGTAAGACGTGGAGGCTTTCTTATCACAGTCACCTAAGGCAAAGCTGTATCTTCTAGTGCAATAGCGGACATGTATCAGGGATGATGTTAAAGATGTTAGAGCCACACAGCTCTGAAGATGGTTGCCAGGAAGGACAGAAAATCGCATGTATTAACTATTCAGTGTGAACCATGCACTGGCTTAAGCACTTTACATGGTTGGTGTCTTTATGATTTTTATTTTAGGTAATTGGTGAAAAAAGAAGTGGCCTTTGAAATAACGTACAGACGATCTTAACTGTATCTCAAGCTTGTCTGAGCAAAACTTTTGAGAATTTAAAGCCATTTTATTTATTCGTTTATATTTTTGTAAGAACATCTAACATGAGATCTACCATCTTAACACATTTTAGGTGCACAATACAGTGCTGTCAGCTATGGGTTGTAACAGCAACCCTTGATGCTCCCCTCACTGTCCTTGGCAACCACCGTTTTACTGTCTGGTTTTATGAGTTTGACTATTTTAGATACCTCATATTCTGCAACCAGTGTACTGCACGTAGCGTAACCCCCTCCAAGTTCTTCTACGTTGTTGCACATTGCAGATTTCCTTCTTTCTAAGGCTGAATAATATTACATCGTGTGTATCTGCCATTTTTCTTTATCCATTCATCTGACAGTGGACACTTAGATTGCTTTTATATCTTGGTTATTGTGTGAATAATGCTGCAACGAACATGGAAATGCAGATATCTTTTCAACATCCTGATTTCCATTCTTTCGGGTTTATACCCAGAAGTAGGATCACTGGATCATCTGGTGATTGTATTTTTAATTTTTTGAGGAACCTCTATCTAGTTTTCCATGGTGGCTGCACCATTTTATTCTTGTAGCAATAGTATATACAAGGGTTCCAGATTCTTCATATCCTTGGCAATTTTCATAAAGGAGTGAGGTGGTATCTCACTGTGGTTTTGATTTGCATAATTACTGAATGATTTGCATGATTAGGTTTTCACGATTAATGATGTTAAACATCTTTCCATATACCTGTCGGCAATTTGTGTGTCTTCTTTGGAGAAATGTCTCTTCATGCCTTTTGCCCATTTTGAAGTCAGGTTATTTGATTTCCTCTGCTTTAAGTGGTAGGGATCCCTTACATATTTTAGATATCACGAACATATCAAATATTTGGTTTGCAAATATCTCCTCTTATTCTGTGTGTTGCCTTTTCCCTCTCACACCTGCTGTGCACAGGCTTTACAGTTTAATATAGTCCCACTTGTCTAATTTTTGTTTTATTGATTGTGCTTTCAGCATCACATCTAAGAAACCATTGCCAAACCTGATATAACAAAGTTTTTCCCCTATAGTTTTTTTCTAGGAGCTTTACAGTTTCCAGTCTCATATTTTAATTCTTAATACATTTTTGAGTTGATTTTTGTGTATGTTGTAAGATAAGGGCCCAACTTCATTCTTTTGCTTGTGGAATAACCAGTTTTCCCAGTATCATTTATTGAGAGACTATCCTTTCCCCATTGTGTATTCTTGGAACCCTTGTCAAAGACCATTTGACTGTATATGTATATATATATGTGTGTGTATATATATATGTGTTATATGTATATATGTGTATATATATGTGTTAGTTATGTATATGTATATAATATGTATATGTATATATGTGTTAATTTCTCTATTCTTTTCCATTGGTCTATATGTCTGTTTTTATGCCAGTGCCATACTGTTTTAATTACTATAACATTGGAATATGCTTTGAAATCAGGAAGTATGATCCCTCCAGCTTTGTTCTTGTAGCTCAAGATTGCTTTCTATATTCAGGATATTTTGTGGTTCAATATGAAATTTAGGATTTGTTTTTCTTTCTCTGTAAAAAATACCTTGGGATTTTGATGGAGATGACATTGAATCTGTAGATGGCTTTGGGTGGACATTTTAACAGCGTTAAGTCTTCTCATTCATGAACATGGGATGTCTTTCCACGTATTTGTGTCTTAATTGCTTTCATCAGTGCGTTGTAGTTTTAGGTATGTAAGTTTTTCATCTCTTTGGTTAAATTTATTCCTAAGTATTTTATTCTTTTTGATGTTGTAGTAAATGGGATTGTTTTCTTAATTTTGGGTAGTTCATTATTAGTGTGTAGAAATGTGGCTGATTTTTGTGTGTTGATTTTTGTATTCTGCAACTTTACTGAATTCGTATATTTGTTCTGATAATTTTTTGGTGGCGTCTTTAGGGTTTTCTACATGTAAGATCATGTCATCTGTAAACACAGACGATTTTACTTCTTCCTTTCTGATTTAGATGCCTCTTATTTCTTTTTCTTGCCTAATTTTCTGCCTGGGACTTCCATTTCTATGCTGAATAGCACTTCTATTAAGTGACAAGAGTGGTCTTGTTCCTGATCTTGGAGGAAAAGCTGTCAGTTTTTCACTGTTGAGTGTGATGTTAGTGGTGAACTGTTCATAAATGTCCCTTTATTATGTTCAAATATATTCCTTATAGACCTAGTTTGTTGAGAGATTTTTTTTTTCACCATGAAAGGGTGTTGCATTTTGTCACATGTTTTTTCTGCATCTATTCTTTATGATGATCATGTGATTTTTATTGATTTTTACTCATTTTGTTAATGTGGTATTTCTCATTAACTGATATGTATATGTTGAATCATCTTTGCATCCAGTGATAAAGCTCACTTGTTCATGGTGTATTTTTTTTTTTTAGTGTGCTGTTGAACTTGGTTTGCTAGTGTTTCGTTCTGGATTTTTGCGTCTGTGTTAACAGGGAAATTGGCCCAAACTTTTCTTTTCTTGTAGTATTTTCATCTGGCTTTGTAAACTCATTTTTAAGAAAGACGCTTTTAATTTTGAGATAATTGTCCATTCCCACGCAATTGTAAGTAATGATAAAGAGATCCCTCATGGCTTTTATCCATTTTCCCCAGTGGTAACCTCAAGCATAACTGTGGAAGACAGTCACAGCCAGGAAGTTGCCATTGATACAATCACTGCTTTCATTCAGATGTCACCAGTTTCACATATACTCTTTTATTTTTATTTTTGTTAAATGTATAGTCTTTGCCATTTTATCATGTGTCAATTTTTGAGCCTACCATCGCAATCAAGATATAAAACAGTTCTATTGCACA